TGGCCCGGAGCCTGAGGCGCCTGCTGCGCCCCCCGAGGCTCCTGAGGCGTTTCCCGAGGCTCCCTCTGCTCCTGCGGCGCCCCCAGTTTTGGTTGCTGTAGCGCCCCCTGTTGGCCCAGAGTCGGCGGTGCCTGCAGCGCCCCCTGTTGGCCCAAACTCAGCGGCACCTGCAGCGCCCCCTGTTGGCCCAGAGTCGGTTGCGCCAGCAGCGCCCCCCGAGGTTCCTGTGGTGCCAGCAGCGCCCCCTGAGGTCTCTGTTCTCGTCCCCAAGGTTCCTGTGCCTCCAGCTCCAGCTGCACTACCCCCTGCTGGCCCGGAGTTTGCACCCCCTGCTGCTGCGCCTCCTGCCCAGTCCCCTGTGCAGCCCCTTGTGACTTCTGTGCTCCCCGTGACTCCTGCTCAGGTCCCCGTGACTCCAGTGCTCCCCGTAGCTCCTGTGGCCCCCGCGGTGCCCCCCGAGGCCCCTGCTGCTGCACCGCCCGAGGTCCTTGCTGCTGCTGCCCAGTCCCCAATGCTCCCCGTGACTGCAGTGATCCCCGCTGCAGCGCCTGAGCTCCCAGCTCAGCCCCCCGCGTCCCCTGATCTCCCCGCTAAGCTCCCCGGGCCTCCTGTGCTCCCCGAGGCTCCGCCGGTCCCCGCTCAGGTCCCCGAGACTCTAGCAGCGTCCCCTGAGGCCGAGCTCCCGGTTCCCATGGCTCCAGGTCCTGTGGCCGCGGTGCCCCCCGAGGTCCAGGCTCTGCCCGCGGCTGCTGCGCCGCCCGAGGTCCAGGCTCTACTCGAGGCCATGGCTCTGCCCGTGCCACGCCCGTCGGCTCCAGCCCTGGCTCCGCCCGTGCCACGCCCGTCGGCTCCAGCCCCGGCGGCCGATGAGCCGACCCATGAGGGTCCAGACTCCCCGGTCCTGGCGGCCGAAGGTCCAACCCTGGCGGCCGACGCACCGCCCCATGCTCCCTCTGCCTCAGTCTCCCTGGTCCCTGCTCCCTTGGCCTCAGTCTCAGTCCCCGAGGTGGTCCCTGATGACCTGACCCCCGCTCCTTCCTCCACAATGGAGTCGGAAGAGGAGCTGGAGTGGGACCCCTCGGGGATCACCCTGACTGTGCCTGTGGACCCCCCCAGGGGGTCACCCCAACCAAAGGCTCCTCATCGAGGTGGTTCTTGGCTGGGTTCCCGCCTCTCGGTCTCCCAGAAAGGGAGGGGACACAGACGGCGGGGTAGGCTCCCTGGTGCCCCTTCACACCTCCAGGTCCCATCTCGGCGGTTGGCCTCGGTCTCACCCAGGGCTCCTGGGCAGCCGGCCACGGCCCGACCGCCACCGTCCCCTCGACGGCCTGCGGGTCCCTTGCCCGCGGTTCTCCCCACGGCTCCCTCCTTGCCACCTCCACCAGGCTCTTTACCTGCATCCTCGCCACCCTCAGCCCCTGTTCCGGCCCGCAGAGACCTGCTTCCCCAGCGTGCCCTACTTCTCGTCCCCCCAAGGTCCCCTCTGCTCCATGTTGCCCCTTGCCCTTAGATCCCTTGGCCTCTGTGTTCGCTCCCCATCCTGTGCCACCGTCGTTCCCTTCTAGTTCCTTTGTGCCCTCCTTGTTTGCTCCTCGTCCCTTCGTGCCATTGCTCCCCTCTGGTCCCTTTGTGCCCCCTGTGGTTCCCCCTCGTCCCTCGGTGTCCTCTAGTCCCTTTGTGGCCCCCACGTTTTCTCCTCGTCCTTCTGTGCCTTTGTCCCCTTTCGGTTCCTTTGTACCTCCTGTGTGTCCTTCCCATCCATTTGTGCCCACGCCTCCTGTTCGTCCCTGTGTGCCCCCTGGTGTAGTCCCTCCATTGTCCCCTTTAGTGTCCCCGGGTCCCATGTTTCCGTCGTTGGTGTCTTTGTGTTTGTCTGCGTTCCCCGTGGTTTGTGGCTTATTGTTTGAGTTGTCCACCTTGTGCCAGTTCTGTGTGTCCATACTGTTCCCTGTGCCCCGTTGAGGATGTTGTTCTTTTTTGTCTCTCCAGTTCCCGTGTCTCCGGTCTCGTCGCGTCTGTCGCCTCCCCTGGGGCGCACCTGGAGTGCGCGTCTTTGGGGGGGGGTTCTGTCATGCCCCGATCGTCTGCTCCTCTCGTGTGCCACGCCCCCTCGTTAACCGCATGTGGATTCCCCGTGTTTACCAGCTGTTCCTGGTCGTTGTCAATTAGTCCATTGTATTTAGTCCGCATTTCCGTTTGTTTCCCCAGTCCGGTCATTGGGTAATGGGGTAAAGTGACTTTGATATGGGCCAAATCATAATGGCCAAGTGACTGGGTCGGAGCATCTCCAAACCACAGGGCTTGTGTGGTTCTTACAGTCAGCTGTGGTGAGTAACCTATCCACAGAGCACATGGCACTGGTCTAAGTCATGGGAGGATCCTGGCAAGGGCAAGGTGGGCAGCTGCCACATTCATGCAAGAACAATGTATGAAACTAGATGCTGTCAGAACAACAGCAATGTATTCCTTGGATGGCCCTGTCACCCTCTCCCTCCTCCTAATCCCTCCCACACCCCCAACTACTACATTCTCTAGCCCCCCCCTACACACTCTCCCCATTTCTCCAAAAAAAACTTCATTAAAAGCCCAACGTTGTGAGATGTGTCTCAATGAAATCAGGTTCACCAGATCTGTCTGTCTTTTCATGTGCCACACTGCTTAAGTTTTGGTGCAATTTGTATGAAAATTAAGAACGACTTCAGAATGTCACCTATACAATGTTCCTGGGAAGTTTGACAAAGATCTTTCAAATACGTTTAGAGTTACACTGTTCACAAGTGTCTTCTGCAGTCACCCTTCCCTTTGTTGCCACTAAGCAGTGTTGCTTCAATGTTGGTGTGATTTGCCTCAACATTTGATCAATTCTACATGTTCATGCATATATTGTGTCTGCAAAGTTTGAAAAAACAAAAGCCACCAAACACTTTTTGAGTTATTGTGCTACATGAAATATATGTCTGCAGTGGCCCCAAAACCATGTGCATACGCCATCCAGGGAATACAATGAGTTACAGGGATAAACATGCACATGCATGCACACTCACATGCTACATATCCTGTGTCTGTGGCCTGAGTGCATAAGACTGACTAATATGGTCCAACTCTGATCTTTAAATCAGAGCTCCTATACAAACTAAGGAACAGGAGCTCACTGAGAAAGAGCTGTGTCTATGAAACCTACCCAGCAGGACTGCATAGGCAAAACAAGACCTTGCTAAACTGTCAAATAAAAAACGTATTCCAGAAGCTTCAGGTACAAGGCAGGGAACAACCCAGGATGGGGCACCAGCAACACTTTTCAGGAAGACAGTATTTATTATTTAAGATAACTGTTACCTCCACTGTTAATATGAAATACATGGTTTGTTACTTGGTTTAATAAAACCAAACACACCTCATATGGTACATGAAGATATCAATGTATGTAAAGGTGAGAGAGGGTAATACTTTGTGACAGAGGGTAATACTTTGTGACAGAGGGTAAGACTTTGTGAGGTGGGAAATAATGTAAGACGTTTGTGAGCCATGGAATAAATGCATAAATTAAGTGTCCCACTTGATGGTGTGTGTACTTGTGTGAGGAGGGGGGTCGTGGGTGATGCATTTCTCTATAGTATCATTCATCCTGGTACTTTTAAATTTATTTATGGCATGTTGTTGTTAGTCGTCACCCAGCCCAAGTATGATCTTTTTTTCATACCTCTCCTTGATATTTCAGCTGAGCACATTTTGCACGCAGCAATTTTTTGGCTTTTTGTCGTGAGTTTTGAAGCCCTTACACTCCTCAGGCATTTTGTGGTCCTGCTTATTTTGCTTGATAATGATACATCATTACGTGATAACGGCCATAGGCATCGGCACATTATCATGAGGATGAGTATGGATTTTTAGACACATAGTGCATGACAGGAAGTTCATTGAAAGCTTAAAGGATAAACTTACCCAGTTTGAAAACCGAAAGAAAAAGGGGCCAAAACTCAAAGCAAAGTCTTCTGACACATAACTAACTACATCACCCATAGACTACCTGCTAAATTAAAATTAAAAAATAATAATAAATTTGTAAGTAAGATAAATTATATTGTTAAAAGAGACTGATAATTATACACCAATATCCCGTCAAACCACAGTAACACACACTGACTCAAGCCGACGACTGATCTCCATGAAACGTACAATCCAGCGTGGGAAGAAAAGGATGAATAAATCCCAGCAAACTCTCACCTCGCCGTCTTTCCCCCACTGCCTGTCCTGTCCCCTGAGCCACATCTACTGACTCGCTTCTTCCGCACCATTAACCACCAGTTTAACCATCTGTTTCACCTGATTAGCACAGAAGCCAAACTCTCTCCGCAGTGACATCACTGACTTTGACAGGAAGCCCCCCCCCCCAATCGACCCTGACAGGACGTGTCCATCCTCTCTGAATGACCTCACCTGCCAAGGCTGCAGATCTGGATTTTTCCCCTCATATGCTTCCTCTATTGATCCTTCCCATCTCACTGTTAATTCTATAAAATAAACTCCACAGTGACATCACTGACTTTGACAGGAAACCAGCCCAGTACTGAGGCCTGCAGAGAGTTTCCAGTTGCTCGCCACACTAAGCTGATCCCCCACCTGCTTAGACTGGCCTGCAGGGCTGCTGTTCCCTCCTCCCTTAACAAAAGGCTGTCTAATAACTTTTACCTCCTTCTGAGCATTAACAGCCTTTCCTTAACAGCCACTAATTCAGAGGCAAAACACGCCAAACCCTTATTGTGCCTCCATGTGTATCTGCCTTGACTCTGACTGACAGCACATCCTGATAGGATCTGCCACAGCCATACAAGCACACGGGGTATGTTTGACCCCATGGGAAATGATGATAAACACAAACCCTAGATATAGATGTGCAGGTCTGTCAAACTATCAGAGATACACAAACCAAGGAAGAGAGCAGGCCAGGCTGGGCCCAGCTGATCACAGGGGGGGCTGACAGGGTAGAGGGGGGGGCTTACCTTGTAGCTCCATATGTAGCCCTCCTCCCACTTTGACATGATCCGGCGGGAGGAAGCGCAATGCTTCACTGCAGGGGCACAAAGAGGGGTTCAGACTGTTAGGTGACAGAAACAGACCTGGCACTGGAGTGAAGGCGAACACGTGACCAAAGGTACATTAATCCTCCTCCATCCTGAATCCATCCAGAGGAGTGGAAACGGAAGTGCGGTCCTGTACTCACCCTGGCAGGACGTGCTGTTCTTGCAGTTGGCCATGTGCTTCAGGACCTTCCTCATGGTGCAGCAGTGGGGTTTGGAGCACCGCCAGAATTGATGAAAAACCAAGTCCTGCTTCTCCCACTGGCACTGCTGAGCATGCAGCAAACGGTCCAGCCGCTCCTGAATCAGCTCACACATCTCCGGGTCAGTGGAGAGGACCTGGGGTGGGGGTAACTGTATGTTTTTTGCAGTCACCAAAACAGCCTTCATGCTCTCTATGCTGTGCATTCTGGGCTTGGGCCTGTAAACCTCAGCTGTGTCTCTTCATCATAATCAGACCGGTTTCTGTGCGGCTGGAAAAGCTCAATATCTGAAGCGCCACTCAAAGCCCTTTCCCTCGAGTCCCCATCTGAACGTGGTCTGGGGCCCCTGCTGGTTTGTACCCCCAAGATGCTGTCCTGTGCCCTGTGCATAGGGCTGCCAGAAGGGGGCACTGTTCCCTCCAAGGCCCATCTGATGGGGTGGCAATGCCGTTCTTTAGGGAGACACCAAAACACATTTCAGTGTAATAAAAATAGACAATCTGCCCAACTGGAAGCAACTGTATCAAATCAAATCAATCAAAATTGTAAGTGCTGTACAGATTTTACATCAATAAAAGAAAAACAATGAACAGGGTTCTTGCAGGTTTCAGTAAGTTAAATTTAAGACCTTTTTAATACCTTTTAAGACCATTATGAGTAAAACTTAAGACCAACACGATGCATTACTAGAAACATTTGAATGATACCAGAAATTCTCATGTTTTATGTCACTCATATCCTTAGCCCAACATCCACATATCATATGTGTTTACAAAGTGCGTTTTAATAAGTTCACATGTGTTTAAAGCATGTGGGAGTGGTATTTTAAGGCTTAAACTTAAAAAAGTTTATGTATATGGTCATTTTATATATCGCGGATTTTCACCTATCACTGATGGGTCTGGAACGTAACTTCCGCGATAGGCGGGGGATCCAGACCCATCAGCCATAGGTGAAAATCCGCGATACAGAAAGACCATATACATAAACTTTTTTATAGTTTAAGCCTTAAAATATATAGTGATCCCACCGCCTATCGCGGAAGTTACGTTCCAGACCCATCAGCAATAATGAAAACAACTGGAAACAGCTGATAAACACGGGGAATCCACACGGGGTTAACGAGGAGGCGTGGCACACGGGAGGAGCGGACGAGCGGGGCAGGACATACTGCACTTTTAATCAGATTTTTTAGATTTTCTAAGTAATTTTTATTCAAATAAGTTTTTTTTCATCTCTATTTTGCTTTTTTGTCTTGGTTTAACTTTTTAAAATCTTGTTTTTATAAAGCACATTAAATAACCCCTGTGTATGATAATAGAAACTTGCCTTGCCTTACCATAAGGAGACCGAGAAACGTTCTCCTCAAGACCACATGAACAACTAAAAACTATATGCTGGAAACTAAGACATTCACAAGGCACCTCCATGATCCATGAAAAGCTCTGTAAAAGTAGAAATGTGTTTATTTTATGATAAGATAACGTGAGCCAACTGGCTAATAGTTGCCTTTTAACTGAAAAAATTCACTCCAGTCATCAGAGAAAAAAGTTAACGCACTACATCAAAACATTTACATTGCAATAATGTATGGCATAAAATAAACTTGTATTACTGAATGATATAGTTACAAGTAATAAAACAACAAATCAGCAAAATCCATAATAAAATCCTTATGCCACACCCCACCGGTGGACCAGCAATGGGAGGCGGCTGCCCCCGACCAATACCGGGACTCCACGTTAGATAAAAGCCCGAAAACACAACAGCCCGGTGCAAGGTATTGTAGATGAAAAGATACATACTGAGCGTTACTTTCCCTGTCTTCCGTATAGCTCTGTTCCGCCCTGCTTGCCCTGCCCAACTCTCCCTGCAACCCATCTCAACCTCCCTCCTGCCCTTCCTCCCCTCACTCTTCCTCCTCGTGAGAACCCTGTGTGCCTTGTTTGTGTCTTCGGACAGACCCCCCAGCTATCGATCCCCCCTTGCCTGCGACCCTGACTACGGATCCGGATCCTGGCCCTGGCCTGCCTGATCCCCTTGGTTTTTGACCCTGCCTGCACGACCACATCTCTTCCCGCTCCCAGTCTCTGTTCCATCAGCACGGTTAAATAAAGGCTCTGTCAATCATCCCTCTGTTGGTCCGAGCGGGTTTGTGACACCTTATTAATTTAGGAGGGCGATATACAACTGTAAACAGGATGGTGGAGGACAGATTCAGTTCCAACAGCTGCATTTCGAGGCTGAAATACATGTCAAATTGGATTAGCCGGCACTGAAAGCTGGTTTTATACACAGAGGCTAGTCCTCCACCTGTAGGGACGATTTGACCAGACAATGTCCCAAAGTGGACCTATCAGCATCACAGCCTACAAATGAGGGTGTGAAGGCAGGACCAAGCCAGGACACACCATCAGAAGCAAAGTCGACATGAGCTCATATGCACAGTCAGCAGGAATGATCCAGATTAGGGCTGTCAGTAGATTAAAATATTTAATTGTGATTAATCGCATAACTGTCCATAGTTAATCACAAATTAATCACACGTTAAATCATCAATTTATTCAACATTCAATATTTACCATTAAGGCATTTTTTCAGGTGTTAATATTCTTATCAATATTACAGTTGGCAAGGCATGATTGCTGTATGCAAATGTATGCAGAAGCTAGCTCTATGGACATGGAATGTCTCCTCTCTGGCGGGGAAGGAGCCTGAGCTGGTGCATGAGGTTGTGACTAGATATAGTCGGGCTCACCTCGACACACGGCTTGGGCTCTGGAACCAGTCTCCTTGAGGGGTGCTGGACCCTCTTCCAATCTGGAGTTGTTTGTGGGGAGAGGCGCCGAGCGGGGGTGGGCATACTTATTGCCCCCTGGCTGGGTGCCTGTACATTGAGGTTTACCGCAGTGGACGATAGGGTAGCCTCCCTTCGCCTTTGGGTGGGGGGACGGGTCCTGACTGTTGTTTGCGCTTATGCGCCAAATGGCAGTTCAGAATACCCACCCTTTTTGGAGTCCTTGGAAGGGGTGTTGGAGAGCGCTCCTCCTGGGGACTCTCTTGTTCTGCTGGGGGACTTCAATGCTCACATGGGCAATGACAGTGAGACCTGGAGTGGCGTGGGAGGAATGGCCCCCCGGATCTGAATTCAAGTGGTTTTTTGTTATTAGACTTCTGTGCTTGTCACGGATTGTCCATAACAAACACCATGTTCAAACATAAGGGTGTCCATATGTGCACTTGGCACCAGTGGTGGGTTGTACCAGCTTAGGGTAAGTTCGATCGTAAGGTCGGGTGTAAAGTATACCTTAAGTCTTATGTTGAAACTAGCTAGTTTGAAACTAGCGCCACGTTCTTTGTCGGTTGCACCACTGCCACTTAAGTTACATCGTAGTGAGTAGCTACTAAATAAAGTTACTGTCGCAAAGAATGACGTTTTCACCGTGGACAACCAATCAATATCACAGGTCGGCATCACAGACAATTTGTGCGTTTATAGAGTGGTAGCCCTTTCTGTTAACATAGTCAATTTCGTGGTCACTGGGTCTTTTTATCTTAAAGTGCGTGCCATCCACACATCCTAACACATCTGGAAAACCGGCGATCTGAAAAAACTTCTGACGGGTTGTGTTTTGTTGCACAGGCAGCAGGGGAAAGTGCACGTACATGTTTATGTGTTTATTCAGTGACACTGCCACTGCTCTCACGGCTCTGCACACGGTGGACTTGTGTACATGCATTGAGTCGCCCACAAAACCTTGAAAAGAGCCGGTGGCGAAGTACCTAAGTGCCAGACATACTTCTAAAGCCGGACTGAGGGCTCCGTTTCTGTCCGTATCATGCTGTAGATCGGCAGCTAACAGATTGGTATTTTTTTGTAATTCAGCACGGCGAAAACGAAACCGAGTATACAGATCAACATCATCATATTCTTCAAAGGGATGTAATCAATCACGAATGACTCTTTCTTGACGTAAACCATGTTTAATTTTGTATTCCCAAAATTAAAAAATGGATAGCCATTTTCACCACTTTTTAACGTCTTTCTTACGATGGACTTTACACCTAATGTTAAGGTAGTGTAAAATTTACACTATAACTTAGTACTATGTTGAAACTAAGAGCATGGTGCAACGGATTATTAAAAACTTGGGTGTGGGAGAATGACTTCCGGACGGCTTCAAGGAGATTCTAGTCCACCATCTGGTGGCTCAGGGTGGGAAAGTGCAGCATCAACACTGTGTATGGTGGGGGTGGGGCGCTGCTGACCTCAACTCGGGACGTTTTTGATCGGTGGAGGGAATACATTGAAGACCTCCTCAATCCCACTGACACGCCTTCCAATGAGGAAGCAGAGTCTGGGGACTTGGGTGTGGCCTGGTCGCTGAGGTGGTTAAAAAGCTCCTCAGTGGCTAGGCCCCAGGGGTGGATGAGATCTGCCCAGAGTTCTTTAAGGCTCTGGATGCTGCAGCACTCTCCTGGTTGACACACATCTGCAGCATCTGGGGGCCGGATGGAGAGAGGGGGGTCATATCTTATAGCTGGGTGTTCAACAATGCGAAGAGGAGCTGCTGCATCACCCGACTCCAGCGCTGATGCCCTTTGGCACCGCCCTTGTGGTGCAGATGGGGCCTCTGTTGTGAGCGGAGGGAGGTCCAGGACCGACAGCTGCTCCTGGAGGGGGCCCAGCGGAGGCCTCCATGGGGGGAGGGGCAGCATTCTCCCAGGAAACTGAGGGGCTGCCGTCCAAATTCGAGACCCAGTGCCTCTGTGACAGTTTGCCGCAGAAGGGTCTACAGGGGGCAGCACAGGAGGGACACTGAGCACTTCCACCACCGCTGTGACCTCTGCACGGCAGGAAGGGCAGGGTAATTGGTACATGATCATGGGGATGGATTACGTCACCTGGTAGTCAAAAGCCTATGCCATCCCTGACCAGGAGGGGGAGGCAGTCAGAGATGCCCTGGTGGAGCGTGTTTAGCCAGAGCCCCTGCACAGTGACCAGGGGAGGAATTTTCAGTCCAATGGGTTCGCCTCCCTGTGCAGCCGGCTGCGCATACACAAGACCTGCACCTCCCCCCTGCAGCCTCAGAGTGACGGCCTGGTGGAGAGGTTTCACCGCACCCTAGGACAGCA